CACTGCCTGGAGCTGCGCTGCTCCTTAATTTAGACTCTTTAAGGAAACGGCTAAGTGAACACCGGAAAATACATAATCTGAACCTGCAGAAAGATGACTGCGTTAAATGTTCCTGTGCACCAGAAGCAAACCGTTACCAGCGTTGGTTCCAGCTGATTTCTGTGGGCTCAAGTAATTGTTAATTGGGTCATTTAATGACCTGCTGCGCTGCATGAGGGATCCTGCCAGTAATAAACAATTTGTAATATAAAAACAGATGCTTTAGAACAGTAATTCAAAAACTGCTCATATGGGTCGATAGTGACAGCATGACTTGATGTTCCAGCGGATGAGGAGGAAACATCTGTAATCATCTTATTCATTCGTGACAGAAGAGCTGCAGGAGTGAGAGGAAAGGTGCACAAGATGTTTGGTTTGGAGCCAGCACTAACGAACGACAGGAGGCAGATCTGGACGTGGCCGAGACCAAGATGTTCAGATTTTAAGTGGAAGTGACCAAAAATGGCCGGAGCTTATGAGAGGGACTGCGGTTTAGAGGCAGAGGGAGGTGAAGGATGATTCAGACGTGTGCAGAGGAGGCGTTTCTTGCACAAAGCATGCTGAATGTGGAGCTACCAGGGGAGGAGGAGAGAAAGAAGACCACAGAGGAGGTTGATGTCATGGAGGAGGATGTGCAGATAGAATGGGATGGATTCAGACGAGTCACTGTGGAGACCCTTAAAAGTGCCAACTCACTGAGTTTTGACTGTTTAAGTCCAGCTGTTGGGGTAAAAAAAAAAAAAAAAGCTCAAAAAAAAAGGAAGGAAAGGTGGAAAAATAAATGTAAATTTTCAGCTGCAGTCTCACGTTTGACCATCGAGCCACGTTTTGAGCAGATGCTCAGATAATAACTATAATTACTATTATGCTTGACATTTTACTGCAAAGAAAGCCCAAATTACTAGTGATGAAACCCCATCAAGCCTTTCTCTCATTAGGACCCCACAACTCGAGCGTTAACCTCCTGAGCAGAGCACACTTTCATCTGAACCCTGCAGCTGAAACCAATCTTTTATTTGCCTCTCTCACTGAAAACACAGGGAGGCGTTGGGAGCAGATTTTGGTTTGTTTGATGTTCTTTTATGGTCTTTTTTACTTCTCTCTACTCCTTTCTCTCTGCAGCAACATCACCAGAAGCTGAACCAACTCATTAAAAGGCTCAAAGTCAGTTCTGGTCTCGTTTCTCCCTTAGAAAGTCCACAATCGGCTGTTTCAGGTTGCACCCATTTACATGCATTTATTTATTTAGACCTCGTGCAGAGTTTTAAATTGATCCTCGGAGGGCTAATAAAAAAGCTTTAGATGAGAGGAAAAAGGTGGATCCACACAAAGCTGAGTTCAGAGGAGGGAGGAAGAATCGAGTATCGGGGGAGCATCCACAGGAACCCCTCTTACTTATTCATGCAGCAGCCGAGCGTCGGGGAACCTCCCTGCCTCGTTATGAAACGAGCGTTTGCAGAAGCTCACAGAACAGTGAGCTGTTCATCCTCTTCTCTCTCCTCATCATCTCCTTTTTGGATCAGATCACTCAAGGGGAGCTACGTCGAGCTTCATTCCCTGCGTCGTCTCTCCAGATGCCCCTAATCCCCGTCTTTGCATTTCCTTTCTCTCTCTTTGAAAGGCAGGTCACGGCTGTACAAAGCGTGTGTCTCTGGTGCAGAAGAAGAAGTTTGAGATTATTAGTCTGATGTTTCTCGGTTCTCCATTTTGCTGTTTTGTGTATCGTCTGTTGTGAGATGGAGTGTCTGCTGGATCAGATCCATCCACCTCTTCTACTGCCGTCCCGGGCTTCGTTGACAAACTTCTGCATTTAATAGCCTTTTTACTTGTCGTCATCTTCCATTCACTGCACATGCCCATACCATCTCATTCTTGACTCTTGTATCTTGTCCGTGATGCTTGTCACGCCAAACGTTTTTCTGATATCATCATTTCGCCGTCTATCCTTGAGGGATATTCCAAAAATCCCATTCCACATTTCTGTTCTTTCCAGGAGTTCCTCTTCCTTTCTCTTTAAGTCCATACTTCAGCTCCACAAAGCATCAAGGGTGCACCATCATCTTCTACACTTTCCCTTTAATATGAATCTAAATCTTTTTGTCACAAAGCACTCCCGTCAGCTCCTTCCATTGTTGCCGCTCCGCACCAATTCTGCATTTAACGTCTTCGTCACAGCTTCCTTCAACATTTATCACTGACCCCAGATACTTGAACGTTTGACCTGCTTCAGTACATTTCCTCTATTATCAGTAACTGTTAAGGTCTCGTTAGCTTTCGAGCAGACCATGGTCTCTGTTTTTGCTGCGTTTATTTTCAGACCTTTTATTCTCAAGTGCCACCATCTGAAACTATCTTCAGAATCTCCAGCCACAACTAGATCATCTGCAAACAACACATCCCACGGCACTTCTCTCCTACTAAGCTCAGTAACTGCATCCATCACAACAATAAACAACAGTGGGCTGAGACATGAACCCTGATGAACGCCAGTTTTAATCTCAAATGCCGTTTGCCAGTTCTGACTGTTGTTTTAATACCTTAGTACATGTACAACTGTTTAAAATAAATGCATCCGATTAAATACAGACACTGTGCTGCTTAAAACTCAAGGTTGGTCAAAAAGTCATTGGTGGTGTGAATTTATAGTTGGACAAAAAGCTAAATTTTAGACTTTTTAATGACCAATTGATTGTCTGTGTGTGTGCAGATATATTTTGGTCTGTTTGCAAAATGTCTGGACAAATTTTCTCAAGATTTCCTGATTACCTTTAAGCACAGTCCGATTAAAGATGGCTGCCACAGCTTATCAACAGTATCCAATACACAAATGGTCATAACTTGTTCAGTTTAACAAGTCTGATGCATCACTTCTTACATGGACATAAAAAACAAACAAACGGAGCCAGGCTCTTTTTTCTGGAGCTGGACCACAACTATTAAAGTGACGGAGTCGACTCGTGGCAGGAAATTAGGGAGCTGAGGTCCACTGAGCAGCTCAGCTCCCGGGCAGAGGACGATAATTCAAGAGGAGGAGAAAGTGGAGCGATGAAAGGATGAATGTGGTGCTCGTTCAGCCTCAGGGACAATCAGGGTCCCTTTACTAGCGTGGCCATTTTCACGCTGATCCCTCCTTAGCCTCGAAAAGAAGCATTGATATTCACACACGTCATATTCACTCATTTACTGAATTCACGTATGAACTCTCTGCAGAAATGCAGAGTGAATGCTGCATGATGTGGCTGAAATACGCTCAAAACTGCAACAACTTGTTAAAATTAAAACAAGCAGAGCAGAAGATAAAACCATCTATGGAGCTAACGCTGGTAAAACAATGGCTAAAAGCAGCAAAACAAAAGCTACAATGAACCAAAAGCTTCATCAGTAACAGTTACAAAGAATAACATTTGCAAAATGCCACAAAGCTTAAATTAGCTCAATCACAGCTACCTGGTAATTTGAGCAAATTGGTGCCTAATAATCAAAATAAGCAAGACAGTAGCTAACGAAGAAGACAATAATGTTTTTGACAAAAATTGTAGAAATCTCAATGTATTTTAACAGAAAGGTTAAATCCAAAAGTTGAACTGTGTCATTGCACCCTATCCCCGACAGAGTGTTGATATTCGATGGGCTGCACAAAGTGTGCAGACGTAGTTTGCACAAAACAGCAGAACATTAACAGGAAACGACTGAATCAGTATTCACAATAACTCACAGTTTGTGCAGTTCAGATGCTTCTACTGCGCGTTTAGATGCACGAGTTTGTTCATCCTGGGTGTGTTTGTGATAAAAGTGACGGCAGCTGGAGCAGAGGACTCAGAAATTTAACATGAAACTGGCAGAGTGTCGTGCAATCCAGTGCAACTCTGCTGGACTGTGCGTGTGTGTGCGTGTGTGGGGGGGTGCTTGTCATAAGCCTTTTCATTTGGAATTTATTATTTCTTATGCAACTGTGCACTCTGTGCCAGGGTCTGCCTGCTCGTAAATGAAGTCACCTCTGCAGAAGAAACACAGAAACATTCATCACAGTCCATCAGAACACGTGGCCCGCCGCCAACGGTGAAGTGACACGACCGGCTGTTTAACGGTCGAACCCACATGCAGGTGGAGGCAGGGGCGTGAAATAATCATTTTAGTTTCACAGCAACAAAAACAAAATGCTGACGGGGCTGGAGATGACAAATGGAGCGGACGCAGGGCATGAGGCCTTGGAAGGCCGACGCCCGGACAGGAGGAGTGAAGACAGACTTTATACAGACACTGACGAGACGTGATGACAAACACCTGGGGGGACGAGAAACAGAGACAGGTGTGACAGGAGCAGAACACAAGAAGCACAGGGGAATCACATACAAGTGGATTATTATGGGGGTTATTCCTCGTGTCTGTTTGTTGGTAGTGTTAGCAAAATATCTCAAAAGCGGTCGGTGCTCTGCATTCCTTTCTGAGTTTTTAGACTTTAGATTGAAAAATTTTTGTAAAGTGTAATTCATGCAGTGATGAACCTCCTCACAGAGTCTGCCTCTTTCATTCATTTATTTATTTATTTATTTATTTATTTATTTATTTATTTATTTATTTATTTAACCAGTTAAATCCCACTGAGATCACAGATCTCTTCTGTAAAGGTCTGGGCCTGAAGGCAGCTGAACTTGTTTTAGACTGTGGGAGGAAACCGGAGTACCCGGGGAAACCCCCCCACAAACTACACAACGAAAGATCCCTGGGTCAAACCTGGGATTGGACCTTTTTGCTATGAGGCAACAGTGCTAACCACTAATCCAGCGTGCTGCCCTATTAATCTATAAAATGTTTTTTTGTAGTTTTAAAGATGTACAAAAATAAAAGTCTCCGAGGAGGACTCCTCCAACAGTTCGGACACTCACTGTGGCTCACTCTGTTTTATTCCGTCCCAGCTGAACTCTTTGACCTGACGATGCGTTTTCTGTTCTCGTCCGCAGGATTTTTAGGACACAGTCGCTCGAATGGTTTTATAACAACGTGAAGATCCGCTTCAAGAGGTTTGGCAGCGCCAAGGTTCTGAAGACCCTGTACAGGAAGCACATTATCGAGAGAGGAGCGCTCTCTGATCTCCCAGGTAACTCCGTCTTCTCAGTTTCAGTTTGTCGTGAACCTGTTGGACAGAGAAGCTTTGTCTCCTCCAGACAAACACAACCGGAGCTTTGTCTCCTGCAGACAAACACAACCG